ATTTAATCAGGTTATCTGTGGCGTCTTATATAAATAAATACAGCAAACATATTTTAATAGGCAGGGGTTTCAGTTTTCAAATTACCCCTTTAAAGGGACATATTCACACTCAATTACTGGGCTGACACATAAAGTGGACAAATACAAGATTTGATAATGGAACAGCAAATTAAAATCCGTGAAAGGCAGAGAATATGGGGCGGCGGCCCCAACCGAACCTGACTGCGCTGCCTGATTAAGTGCTTATGAGGTGGTGTGGTGAGGGGGCCCTTTCCTGATCTGATAACTGCCACGGAGAAGCCAAATGCAGAGTCAATCTGCAAATACTTAATCCTCCAGAAGGCAGATTAAGTGTATAATTGACCTATATAATCCACGTATCATCTCCAGCCCAGTGTGCCCTAGGTCTGGTTCACGGTGACAAGGGGGCCTGGGGAAGGCGGTGTGCATGCAGCATTACCCCCAGTGTGGATGCCATCCAAGTTCGAGATGGCTTTTTAATCACTCATCTCCGAGCCTGTGGGGTTTAAGCAGATGAATTCACCCTAAGCACATCTCTTTTAATCCCGATTTTCTTCTCAGTCTGTGTCTTCAAGGAGTACAAGGAGGAAAGAAAATAAATTAATTTTTGTTTAGACCTTGAAATCTTAGGTGCTTCTCTTGATGATCTGATCTCTAATTTCCAAAAGCATGTTTTTGTTTTGGGGGAAAATGGTGAATTAATCACCAGAGGAGGTGGGGGGAAGCTATCTGCATGATTTATGGACACTCAAGCTTTAAATCGCTATCTTTGAGTTATTTCTTGGGCTGGGCTTTCCTTTTCAAGCTGCTGCTTCAGGAATATGGAGATTATTCATCTCCATGTTTTATATTTTCTTTAAAAGTCAGCAATAATTTTCAAAGAGGCCAAGCTCTCACTTGAGTCTGACAGCAATCAGATTCTCTTTTCAGAATTCAGCATCTTTAATATAATTTTGATTTCCTATGATTGTATATATCGGCATATTTGCTTGCTCTAAGCCTCTGCATCTTCTTTCTCCCCAAAATATTATAAACTGTTATTTTGTAGCAATTAGAACTGGTTTACAATGGCTCACCATTTTTTTTAGCCAAAAAAAAAAAAAATTACAAACATGCAGATGAAAAAATGTACAGCTACATATCTGAAATACCAAGAAAAACAGTTTAAGGATTCTTTTCCTGTCAGCACTTAATTTTGAACTGATCAGTGTTTTTTTTAGGTGCATGACTAAAAAGGTTGCTAGCATTTTATAGGAGGACTATGTGAATCAATGATTAATAAACAGGGAAACTTTTCACTGCATTGAAAAGACTTGGTGAGACAACATTATGCTTGACTGTATTTCTTCAATCAACCTAGAAAATGCCTGTTTAAAAAAAAATTTTTTGGCGAAGATGAATTTGGAAAGCTGTTCTTAAGTTACATAATAAAATAGATAAAAATGCAGAACATTAAATATAGAGCCCCAAATGCTATGCCGATAATCTCCCACAAACACCCAATTCCAGCCAGAAGTACAATGATGAGGAAAAAAAAAAAACCCAGCTCAGACAGAGACAGAGAGAGAGAACATGGAGATCGGTGCTTGGTTAAAACGGAAGATGCACTCATTAAATGACTGGGTACTAGTCTAAATATTCTCAGGAACAGATACACACTGAAGCCATCCAGCCTCTTCCACAAGGTACACTCAGAGGCAAAAAAAAAAAAATAAAAAAGAAAAGCAAATGAAAATAATCCTGAATAACAAGAACTTAAAGGACTTCCCAAGTAAATCAAACTGAGACTTTGAAACACCGTTAAAAATACAATGGGAACTCTGAGAACACGCCTCTGAATGACAGATGCCAGCAGGAACTAAAAAACAGAATGACACAATAATCAAAATCAACAACCTCCAAACAGCAAACAATCTCGGAGATACATATATTTTTCCTCATTCAAAATGCTAATGTTCTATTATTCATTTTTGCCATTTATCAAAATGCAACAATTTGGAAGAGACACCTCTCAGATCAACAAGTTTTTCTCAATAGCTTTCCGCCAATTGTTTAGAAACCCGCCCCAGGACCACTATCATTAAGAATGAAGTTGAAAGGGTAAGTTCACTGTAGCAAGAAATGTAGGGTGAGAGGTTTTACAGACACCCTTTTTGCCTCAACATTCTGATTCCCTTGGGTAGCTTAGTGGACAATGAGGGCCTTCCAGAGCATATATGTAAAGAAAGAAACACCCTACTTGAGGAAACAGAAGCCGAAGATAATCAAACATGTTGGTAATCTGATGTTTTGCTGCTAGATTATAGAAAAACAGTAAGTACTGAATTAAATTACTGGGGCTGCATGGTAATGAAGCTTTTTGAGAAGCTCTGGGTTTTATCGAATGACAAATGTTTTAAAATCATGACAGATTCAAGAACTTTTCCTGCACGACATCAGTTAGGTTGCCTAGCACCAATATTCTGTAAATTAGGGGAGAAGGTTATTTGGGAAGTAAAGAAGTAAATGGCACAGAAATTTGCTATCTTGAAATAAAACTGCTGAAAAAATTTTTTCCCACAGGGGTGGGAGTGATGTTCAGTGCATGATTGTAATGGTTAAGTTTTAAACTCAGATATTCAGGGAAGTGCAAATAAGATTCCTTTGGAAAAACAGAATTAGGACAATGGGAGATTAAATTGTGGGGATTCTGATAATGTTACTGATGCCATTTTACGCTGGTCAGTTTGTAATCCCACAAGGGATCTGACATACTTGTGAATTTTTGAATAACTCTAAACATAATTTGCATCCTGAGAAACATACTCTGTGTACTGTTTCTTTTGATTATTAATTCACACCAATGACCAGAGGGCTTGAATTTGCCTCTGTTCTACAACAGTTGGGCAAGTCCAGTTTACCATCTGTGCTGGCCAAAACTACGACCGTACTTTTAAAATCAAGATCCAGTTGTACTTTCCCTTTAAAAAAGCCCCAGAAAAGGACAATCTGCCTTGCTGCCTTCGACAAAGCCACCTTAAAAACATTTTTCCCCCACCATGTACGACTTCTAATTAAAAAAAAACAGGAGGAAAAAGTGGGTTATTTGTCAATGAAATAATAGGCTAAACTGTGGATTCAATATGAAATTCAGTATTAGATGTCTGCAAGTTCTGGAGAGCATTGGGTTACTCACACACAGTCTCACACAGAAACACGCACACACACGCACACGAGGGCCACACAAAACTGAGAATTAGAAGATACTGATCAAAGAAAAGAAAAAAAAGGCAACCTAGGCATTGAAAAGAACAACCCCACAGGCTTCCTGAACATTTGTGGCTTGGAATTTCATTCAGCGGAGATGGGCAGAGAGTCCACACTCCAAAACGCAGACCCAAGGGTGCTGCCTGACTGTTTTCAATGCCTGCTGGCTGGGTGATCGGGCCCCAGACACTCCAGGCTTGGCACTTTCATAAAGGCACGCATGCAGAGAAGGCAGAGGGCCCGCCGGTGAGCTTTATGCATGTATGAGGCATTCTCAGTGGATGTGGGCCATGCTAGAAGATGTACACAGGAAGATTATTTGATTCTAATTCATGCCACTTGATATAATGTGATAAAACATTTGACATGAGAGATAAGTTCCATTTTAATCTGAGAGAGGACGGGTGGGAATTAAAAAGTAAGAAGGGTTTTCTCGAAGAAAGGTGATGCAGAGGAAAGAGCGATATTGAACACAGAAAGGGGATGATTAGAAAAGAGAAAAAAAAAAAAGACAGGAGCCTTTTCAACACACGAGGAAAGCAAATGAGCTGGAAGACAAAGCGCAGAAAAGTCAGGAGCTGCAGATTCTTAAGCGGTGCCAACAATGAGCTCACTTAGCCATGGAACAAAAACACACACACACACACACACACACACACACAAACTCGATGTAAATTGCTGAACACAATCGCGGAAAAAATATAGAAACACGGATTCCATAGTAGACCAAAACATTAATGTTCGAGCTGGCACTCAAAATACAGAAACCTGGACAGGAGGAGCTCACGCTTCACAAGACAGAAGTAGGCCGTACAATCAGAGCCACACGGAGACAAGTATGCCGGCTTCCATGCACTCTGGCCGGGTCTACACTGGCAAATTCGGTGGGAACTTGAAACAAAATATCTGGCTAAATTAGGCAGCCCCATCTGCTTTGGCCTGAAAGAGGCAGAAAATTTGAGACCGAAGCAGATTCCTTTTTATTTTTTGCTTTTTACCTCAGTGGTTTGCTTTGGGAGTGCAGATGTAGTCACAGTGGAAGTACGTTTACTTGGTAACTATTACTCCTCAGAAATTTGTTCTCTGAACGTCAAGCCAGGTCTGGCAGCCTGATGTAACTGCTCTTTATACCCCTGCTTCTTTTTCCAAATTTTTAAGAGGGTGGGGTGGGGAAGGTGGGGAAGGGACTCCCCAGTTTGGACAGCAAAAGAACAAGGAGCTAACATTAAGTGTTTGCCAAAACCCAGGGCTAGCTAAAGATTTCTAGTCTTCCAGAAACGCAATCATCTTTCAAGTGATAACGATGCTACGTTTCCTGCCACAGCTGTGAACCACCCTCAGGAGAGGGCCAGTCGCAGTCTCCCGGGCGGCAGGGAACATCTCCCTAAAGCAGGGCTGGGTTGCAAGAAGGGGAACCATGACCCAGGAAGGTCTTTGCCAGTTAGAGGAAGCAGCCACCTCACAAGCTTCGTGCAGGGAGGAGCCGGCTTGTGCGAGGCTGTGTGCCGCGCTATGTATCACACGGGTGAGAACTGAGACACGGCCACGCCAGGGAGGGTTGGGGACAGACACAGGACAGATAGGAGCCTAAGGCGGAAGGGAAGGAAAAGATTTAGTTTGCATCAGGACCAATCCATTTTCTCAAAATGTGACTTATCCTCCTGTCTCTTTATTTTGTCACATTTTGGAGGGTCTCCTCCTTGGCCTTCAAGGAGGAGAAGGCATTTACTTACATCAAATAACCTTTCTATATACATCTCCTCATTGACCTTATCACGAAGGACATCCTGAGAGTGGCGGACGAAAGTCACGTATGCATCGGCCACGTCCATCCCAGGTTTCTGCAAAGAGACAGGAGAATGTGAACATGGAATTCTCAGACAGTGGCTCTTTCTCGACTACCCCTGCATGCTCTTCCCACTTCACCCTGCCTGGACCCCCAGTACTTCCCCTGGAGTTTGAAGCTCTCCCCTAGAGCCGGGAGCTGTCCAGAGTACACTGTATCCAGAGGGTCCACCATATATGGCATCACTCTCCACAGCCTGGACTGAGATTCCAGGAACTGAAACTGACATTAAAATCTCCAGTTCTTTCTAGAAATTCAACCTGGCAAGAGGGGAATTGAGATTGCAGGGTTGTACAGGTTTTTTTTTTTTTTCCTATTATTATTATTATTATTTTTTTTCTGGCAAAGATACTCTAATGGATAAATCTTCACCAGATAACCCAGAGATATTCTCTGGTTTTTCTTTTGGTTGAAAGCTCCATCAAAAAATACTCAAAAATACTCTATCTTCCACTGTCTGTCCTTAAGTAATATTAAAAAAGTGACAGCTTTCCCTGATCCCCTCAATTTAAAAAACTGAGGATGTGACAAGTAAAAAAATTCTGTTTCAATCTATACAGCCTCCTACCCAAGTCATATTGTGGGGGTAGTTTAACCTGAGTATATAGTGAGTATTTCCTTATTAGTTTACTCAAAGGAGACATTCAACCAATTGTCTTTGCTTCCTGGGTATAGCTTTAGAGTCCAAGGATTCAAAAAGATGGGGAGGGGGAAGGATTAGACTTTTAAATAAATTAGATGTTCTGGAAAGGTAAGCAGGTGGTCTCATTCAGTAGTTACAAAATCATTTATGGTAAGAAAAACCAAACAAAACTAAGAATGCATACTGCTTGAGCTGTCGCAATCAAAGTTATCTCCAAAGAAACCTATTAAAACACTGTAATATGGGTCATTAGGAGAGCTGCCACAAATCCCTTAAATTTCCACAGTCGATATGTATGTTTGCTAATAACTAAAAAGATTAGTTTTCATTACTGTGATTTTACCTTAGATCACAAAGTATCATTTCTCTACAAGACGTGACTGTCAGGCACTGCAAATTGAAGTTAGTTAACACTTCTGTGTAATTTCCAGGGTGAAAATGAGGAAGGTTTGGAAACAGTAGGACTGTATTTTTTTTTTTTCCTGATACAAAGCAAACAATTATCAAGCAAAGGGCCAATGCCTGGCCCCTGGGATGCTAGTAACATTTCTTAACACCTGCTGAAACAATGACAAGGTATTAATTTGAAAAACAATGAGGACAGCTCAAAGCCACAGTAGTCAACTGCTACACTTTCAAGCAATTTTCAGCGAATGGATTGAGCAGGCTGTGTGATGGTCCTATAATTGTTGCAGTTTTATGATACAAAACCGTAGAGGTTCTCCAATGAGATGGAAGTGATAGCTATCAGTTCTAAGCTGGCAACTCTCTCCTCCGCTCCCTTTGGCAGCCGCACATCACAGGACGTCCTCAGTGGTGATGGGGACCCCTACCTGGGGCACTTGAGAAACTTATTATTGTTTCCATTTCTTCCCTGGTGATACTTGTGGCAGACGTTTCCTGGATGCAGGCAGCCATCTTAGAGCTAAGATTCAAAGCCAAATTCAGCAGACCTATTTGTAACCACAACAGTGATCTACAATAACAGTTATTTTCACCCCTCCTTCTCTTTTCACTAAATTGCTGTCCTTAAAGGGGCTTTTCATTTATGCTTTAAAAACTTTGAAAATAAATATTAGTGCAGTTCAGCTCACCCAGGGAGTTAAAAAACTGAGTTTTTGACTGAGCTTTTACTTTTCTTCATAGCACTCACCAACATCTGACACTGTATAATAGATTTATTTGCTTTTTGTCTTCTCCCACTTAGCACATAAGCTCCATGAATACAGGGACCTTATCTGATCTATTTTTTTATTGTATCCTCAGCACAGAAATGATGGCACATAGTATGTGCTCACTAAATATTTTCCAAATGAACAAAATCGTGAATGAATAAGCCTCTGTCCCACCTCCTTACTTAAACTACTCAGTCACACTACATGGATTTTTATTTGATCCCCCACACGATGGAGCTTTTGAAAATCCTTTCAACTTCTCTGGGTTTTGGTTATAACCATCTGTAAAATGGGATTAATAACAGCTTCCCTACTTACCTTCAAGGATTGTTATGATCATCAGCTAAAATAATGGAAGTTAAACTGCCTCAAAGGCCATAAATCGCTATTCAAACATGAGCCACTGTGATTCTCATCCCCGTATCCCCCACAAGATTATGTCACTTCATGACCCTTACCTACCTCTGGAATCTATTTTGGAACCAAGAAGGAAAAAGTTGCCTCAGAGAAACCAATGTCAAAAAAAAAAAAAGATCAAATCTGCATGAAAATGTGTTTTCTCAAAGTCCTCTGGTCCCCATGTTTTTGACCAGCTTTTTGTTCAGTTCTGACAGGTCTGTTTTCCATCCTTTGGTGGACCAGGAAGGGCGATGAGGGGACTTATTTGAAACAGAGGTGCTGACAAAAGTTATCACCTTTCCTGATACCCTTAGCCTGTGGGAGAAGGCTGCCAAACTGGAGCATCAGACATGTAGACTCAGCATACACTGAGGTTTGGTGCTGTGAAGGGCTACGTCTTGGGAAGTCCTTGTGGGAGCAGGTCACTAAATGGCCACTGGGGATCCTTGGTTACAGGGAAAAGGTTCAAGTACTGTTAGTTCCCATTTAAAAAGGTAGAGAAGGTTGTGCAATGCATTCTAAGCAGGTTTTCAACCAAACTGGTTAAACTCGTAACTGTTCACTGACCAACAAGCTAACTTGTAGATATAGATGAAAAACATTCTTGGTTAAACAACTGATGCTATTAGATAAATGAAGCTTCCCTTGTGGCTCAGCTGGTAAAGAATCGGCCTCCAATGCAGGAGACCTGGGTTTGATCCCTGGGTTGGGAAGATCCCCTAGAGAAGGGAAAGGCCACGCACTCCAGTGTTCTGGCCTGGAGAATTCCATGGACTACAGTCCATGGTGTTGCAAAGAGTCGGACACAACTGAATGACTGTCATTTCACTTTAAACCACATGGCTATCTAGTAACAATGGGAAAAACTTTAGGGGATGGTTTTTAATATTTCACAATTACATTATTTATTTTAAACGTGCCTTGGACAGACTGACAGCATGAGATGTAGATTTTAGAAAATAATTAAATAATGACTATATAAATCCCAATATAGTTAACTATAATCCATGTGTGGAAGACATAATTTGAAGAAGCCACTTGGTGGCTTGGAAGAAATAGGACATTTTAATCATGGCATGTTCCTCCCAGGATATTTCTGAGCTTGAGGGAAACGAATTCAAATTCCCAGCATCCTAAAGCAAGCCCTAATTAGGAATGCAAATCTGCTCTGTACTGAAGGGGCAAATACTCCACCTAAGACAAAGAGATGTGCTTTGGGGATCACGCAATGTTTTGAATGACTGGTAACAGCGCTTGTCTCTCTTAGTGGAGATAATTAAGAGACAAACCTCTGCGGTAACTAAATACTAGTCCCCACAAGAAACTAAACCAATAAACCGTGTGCCAAAAACCTCACAGGGCAACAGAGGTCAACTCACCAGAGCTAGAAACAACTTAAAAGATGATTTTATCCAAGAGCTCCTAAACCTGGCTGCAAATGAGAAGGATATGGGAAGCTTTGAAAGATAGTAATGCCTAGACCCCATACCCAGAGATTCCGCTTTAAGCTGCCAAGCAACTTCATAGTGATACTTGTAAAAAACTCCCCATGTTTCCAGTATACAACAAAGGTTAAGAATCACTCATTTAGCCCAATGGATCCCAAAGTTGTGCAAAATACCAGAATCTAGTGGACAGCTTCTTAGAGATCTCCAGGCTTCACCCCAGAATGGCTGAGTCAGAATTTCCAGAGGCTAGGGACCGGGAATCTCTATTAAAACAGCAGAAACAACCGAAACAAACCAAAAAACCTTGCCAACTATCACCTCTGCACATTCTGGTTTGGGGACTACTGATTTAATAGGTGATATTTGCTGGTGAGCTGGTAGACTGGCTCTTCAAGACAAAAACAATCAAACAAAACCCACCAATGCTGAAGTGTAGTGCTTGACAGTTTCGTGGTGTAAATACTTGCCCCAAGGCTGAGTCTGAGCTTCCAATGTGCCCTCACTGAAGGCAGAGCTGGAAGCAGACACACCCCATTGACCCTTGGGAGCCGGGGTCAGTGGCTCTATGTATCAACGGCTAGCACGTGAATGTTCATGCAGCCATCAGCTTGTCCGGTGACCGTGGCAGCCACTGAACCTCCCTGTGCCTCAGTTTCCCCACTGTGAAACACGGGGGTCCTATTACTCCCCTCCTAGGGCTCTTTCGAGAAGTAAATGACTATTGAGAAGTGAACTATCATTTACTCTGGGTGAAGAATGTATTTATAGTACATGTGTATCCTGTGCTAACGTTTTCTGGAAAATTACTCATTAAAACATTTGCTATAATATTATTGTCTGAGCCACCAGGTGCAAAAATACTCTAAGGAACTTAATTTTAAAGTTGAGCTTTGTCCCAAGGCATACTAATGGGTGAAATCATGGTGAAAGAGCACATCTGACATGCTGATCGTATTTTTCCTAATATCCATTAAAATAGTTTCTCAGTTTTCCATAAAAAGATGTTTGTCTATGCACTAAAGGAAATCATATCAGGCAGATGATGTAGTGTTTAAGAACATTACTGCTCAGCTGTGCCTCTTATGAACCGTGGGATCCTCAGCAAGCCAGCCTTGCAGGGCCACCATTTCCTTATCTTGCAGGGAGATTGTTGTGAAGGTTAAACGTAAAGTGCTTCGAACAACACCTCGCACACAGAGGTTGTTTATAAGGCTTGGTTGCAGTTTTTGTTACTATGAGATTGTACACTGTTGGTGGAAAATGTACCACATTTGGGGACATACTGCATCATTTTCTCTGTCTCCTTAGGGGGAGGAAACTTGAAAATTGATTTTTGTTCCTTTTCGTGTCGACGTAGAATCCACTTTGTCCTCATTTTGACAATAAATCCAAGCCTGGCTCACAGGAAGTGGGTCGAGCCAAATGACATTTCCAAAACTTGACTTTTTTTGACCTCTGCCCCCAATAATTTGATCTGCCCGATAATTTCAGCTGACAGAACCAATTGCCAGATCAATTTCCTCCCCCCACAAACATTTAGGTCCTGCCCACTGGTCACCTGTTTTATAAGTCTCATTGGTGAGATCTCCCCTTTGCTTTGAGGTGTAACAGAAAACAGACTTCAGTTACCAGGTCTTTGGGTTGGGGACTAGAAGCTCCCTTTCTATGACTGCTGAAGGCCCGGCTAAGCCAGGGTGGATGTCAACAATTCATCCTACCTCCTCCCGTGGGCAACAGAGCAGAAATATCTCCCCCCACCCCACCCTGCTCCTGCTACAGAAATACCTAGAGAGTGCCAGGTACAGCACAGAGTGTCCCATATATGTGCCATGTAACCTGCACAGTGAATCTGTGATGTGGGTTTTTATCCCTATTTTAAGGATGGAGAACCAGACTCAGAAAACTTGAGTAGTTTGCTCCCCGTGAACTGAAAGTTTCTACTCTGGGGCTTGCAAAAATAAATTACTTCTCTCCTAGCTCCAGGTATGTGAGCTTTTTCTCTTTTCCATTATGAGGACTATCTACGTGAAGGAGTCGGGGGTCCCCCGATGAGAAGTATTATATAAATTCAAAGCATAATTATTGATTGTACATTCTTTCATTAAACAAACAAAATATATGCTAATGCTAAACTCCCTCCAATTTTCCATTTTGCCATCCTTTGAGAAATAAGCCAATAAACCATTACACACTGAGCTTCCTGGGGAAATGAATTTAAATGTTAATATAAATCCTTTTAGAAAAAAACAAATTTTAACAAATAAGTATTTGAACAAGGAGGGTACTTAACCACGTTCAGAATGAGAAACGCTCAGTACAAGGCCCTTGGTGGCTGTTGAGATAAGCTCTTTAAATTTAATATTTTATAATAGACTCACACCTCTTTTGTTAGAAATGGAGAAACAGAATCATTTTCTTTTCCCCTTTATTGGAATATATTTAAATCTCTCCAATTTTATTTTGCTAATAAGCAGGCCCAAGTCGGTCTATAAATGTATCCTGATTTATCACAGGTAATCCCACACTCTAGCATTCATGTGTAGTACTTAACCTCAATTTAAATGTAAATTTTGGGCAACTTTGAGTGCTTTATCTGTGAACTTGGAGAGCTCTCTTCATTAATGAGGTCTGGACTAATTATAAGCAGTTTTGTAAGGTTTCTTTAAAACAATTGCAGAATTGACCCCAAAATGAACAAATTCCGAATTTGTTTTTAAAAAATGCTGGCATGCTTGTGCAAATTTCTAGCTCAATGCCCTACTCCCAAGGTGTGCGCACAGGAGGGGAGGGGAGCCGGATGATAACAGAATGAAATAGACCAGAGAAACCAATGGAAATGGAAACGAAAGTTAATCGGGTTCACCCTCAAATACAATCTCTTTTTCCTGCTCAAAGAAACCATACCCTCTTCTCAATTCAAAACAGTTTTACCAGGAAATATTCTTGCCTTCCTTTCTTCTGGCGATTCAAGTCAGGACTACACAATTTAGTGGCAACTAATGAAAAAAGCACTATCAAAATTCTCATGAAAGCCAACCCCTCCCCCCAACAAAAACAGTTTTCAAATACTCACAGGTACATCCACGTATTTGGAAGCTGCCTTCACCTAAGGAGGAAAGAAGAGGATGGAAGTGAGGCTGGTGTTTATGTTTAATTGTTCACAGCTCAATGCTGTATCACCATCAGAGTTAAAACAATATGCTGGCAGACGGAGCTGACCAGGAAACACAAGAAAGGTACGAAAAAAATAAAATCTGTTTGCTATTTTTTTCTGCAAGAGACCCACTGCTTTGGAGGGAAAAAGAGTGAGAGAGAGGGAGGGAGAGAAAAAGAGAAAGACAGCAAAATTTTACTGATACACTGGACCTAGTGTGGGAGTTTTGCATTTTCCTCCCTCCCCTTTAAAAAAAATTATTTTTTATTATTATTATTATTTTGATGTGGACCATTTTTAAAGTCCTCATCAAATTTTTTACAATATTGCTTTTGTTTCATGTTTGGATTTTTTGGCCACAAGCCAAGTAGGATTTTAGCACCCTCCCTTCCCGCCGCACCCCAGTATTGGAATCACCACATCTATGCACATGTCTCCCAGGAAAATATCCAGGGGAGTATTTGTCCCTGTTGCTCTTTTCTCAAAGCCACTTCTTAAAATGTCAACTCTTAGGGTATATATAAAGTTAACCTTAAAAATGCATTCCAATCTACATTAGGTGCAGACAAATACTGTCTGATTCCACTTACATGAGATACCTAGACTAGTCAAATTCATAGAGTCAGAAAGTACACTCGTAGATGCCAAGGGCTGGGGGTAGGGTGGGGTGGGAGACGAGGACTTGGTGTTTAATGAGGAAAGAGTTTCAGTTTAGGAAGGTGACAATTTCAGGAGATGGATAATGGTGAGAGCTGTACAACAATGTGAATGTACTTAGTGTCACTGAAGTATACCATTAACTATGGTTAAAATAGTAGGTTTTATATTATGTCACTTTTACCACAATTACAAACTTAAACAACAAAATAAAGGAGAAATCAGTGAGCCAATGGGCAGAGTAGAAAGAGTTCAGGATTTGGAGTCAAAAGTTCTGTAAGTTACAGGACTGTTAATATCAATAGTTGACCTTCAGATCATCACTTTGAGTCCCTTCGCCTAGGTTACTCAATTTCTAGAACAGGGTGAAAGCACTGCGTACTTTGTATGGTTGATAACCTGCCTGATCAAGTGACAAAATGTATGAGAAAGTGTTTTGTAAACTTTAGAGGGTGGAATACACACTGATTAGTAAATTATTGAGAGGGCAATGCATTCTATCTTCTGAAATCACCACCAACACCCTAGATGATTCCGAGTATCCTGTTACAGATTCTCTGAGAACCCCACATTTTTTTTTCTTTGCAAGTTCTGACTGCAACTGCAATTCAGCCATTTCTCGGCAATGTCTGTCTCCCACACAATATCATGTCTTGCCTATGGCTGTCTCCTGTGACTCATTTGGTACCTGGCTTAGAAAGGGGACACGGGGAAAACCTGTAGAAGGAAGGAGAAGAAGCTAGTGACCCGTGCTGGCTTCAGGATGCTTAAGGGATAAGCAGACAAGACCGAGAAGTCACTGCAGCAGTCAGTCGGAGAGCCCAAAGCTGGGCGCTTGCAAGGCACGGAGGGTGACCTCACTCTGGACTGTTAAGGGGAGTATGAGGAAAGCTTTCTAAATTTTGCATAATTAACATTTTGCTAAATGATTCTCAACCCGAACTATTTCCTCTTTAGTCCTGTTCTAGAATTTAGTTTGAGGAAAAGGGCGACTCCTTTCATGTCTCCTGTATGTACATTAACATACAACATTTCTATGATGTTTTTCACTTTGCAAAACATTTTCATGTATTGTTTCTTTTTTAAGCCAACCTGCAAAAGGGGGGAGGGCTATTAATCCTATCTATTGACTACTGAGAACATTAAAACCCACTGAACTTAAAAATTTATTTTATCATGACCTGGGCCAGAAGGCAGAGAAGCCCAACTAACATGTGGGTCTCCTGAGCCTTAACTTTTCCTTTTGAACACCCGATCTTCTCACCACTGGTAGAAAGTGTGAGGAAGGTAAGCTTCAGTGGTCAGGGCAGGCAATTGCTGACAAAATAATTCTTCTCAGCTACAAATTGCCTCCTTCGGTCTGTTGAGTGAGTGCTTGGCAGTTGGTAAGAGTTCTGCTACAGCTGAAATGATCAACCTTTCAACACACCCACTCTTCCCACCAACATGCAGTTTTAACCCAGAAAAGGACACCAGTCAGAGCCTATTCCTTTCAGATCAGATTGGGAAGATAAGGGAAACTGCATTGGGATGAAAATCATCCCCTCTGCTACATGCACCAGCACTCAGTTCACGGGTCTTTTTAAAAATTTGGTAACTGCTGACTTGCACTTAACCTTATTAATCTTTCTCCCACCCCATAATAAAAAAACAGCTCAGAGTAAGTTGTGGTCCTATTATTATCTAGAAAGATGTGCTGTATCATTTTTGGTTCTGGCCACTGAACTTGAAGGAAGATGTTGAGGACCCAGGGCAGTCTGGAAATGTCTTCTACATGGAAGGGCTAATGGCAAAGGAAATGAAAACCTTCATGCAGTTCAGCCAGGTCCTTCACTGTAGAAGGGTTGAGCCTGGTCATGGTAATTCTCGAGCATACAATCAGGAAGGATGAGGAACACAATGTGACTCTAAGAGAAGGTGCAAACAGCTATCTTGGTTCAGCCAGGCACCGGCCGTCTCTGGTGACGAAGGACACCTTGTGGAGGAGCTCATGCATGAGGTATGCAAGATGCTCCGACATGAGCCTTTTCTCACGCGAGAGATCAGCCCTAAGGCTGCTTCCCACTGTCTGTTGCTCATCTTCTTGAGAGACAGAAAGCTGGGACTTCCCTGGTGGTCCAGTGGTTAGGAATCCACATTGCAATGCAGGGGTCGTGGGTTCGATCCCTGGTCCAGGAGGATCTCACGTGTTGTGGGCCTACTGAGCCTGTGCTCTAGAGACCCAGAGGCACAACTGCAACTACTGAAGCCTGGGTGCCCTAGAGGCCATGCTCTGCAACAAGGGAGGCCACCGCGAGGGGAAACCTGTGCACCGCAACTGGAGAGTGGCCCCCGTCCGCTACAACGAGGAAGCCAGTGTGCGCAAGGAAGACCCAGCACAGCCAAAAATGAATAAAGAAGTAAATTTTTAAAAAAGAAAGAAAGCTATCATTAGTTCTGCTTTTTCGTTTGTTTGTTTTCAGCACACATGTCGAGATGTAGCAGACTGCGTCGGCTAACAGAACCAGGATCTGAACTGTGGCCCCTAGAGAGCTGTTTCTTGCTTAATGTCAACCTTTAGGTGCTTTTTTTTTTTTTTAGTATCCAAAGGATTGGCCAGCTATACTCTTAAGTAGAGAGGAAGCACAGATCCTCCCAACTCAATAGGGATTTCAAATCATTGTCAAGGGTCACAAAATCTGAGCGCACACCAGGTGACTTTGACCAAGTTAATTAACTTCTGAGCCTACTCTGCAAATGCGACAATTATAATGTTCCTCAAAGGAATACGAGGGGATTGGAAGAGGTAATTCAGCTAAGGGTGGAGAACAGAGCTGCGGATGTGGTAAAAGCTACTGCATGTCCCTCTTCTTACTGCAATGTTGGATAACTGGTGTAGATCAAGTACCAGCGCCACATCCCAGTGCCCATGGGAACAGTTTCACTGCTCATGTCTAGTCCATGGGCAATTTCTCACCATAAAAAGGATGCTGGAATCTCCCCAGGTTTTCAGCAGGTATCTTAGCTGATTCTCAGTCTGGCAAATGTCCTGTCAATTCCATGAACACCATATGCAGTGGACTCTTCTCTAGAACACTGAGGCAGTGTTCCCTTCTACTCCCTTCCTCAGGTTGCCCAAGCCAGGGCATGAGTGAGAGGGCAATTCCCCAAGTCACGGTGCTCTGTACATCCAATCACATATCCCTAGCACCCTCTGGTACAAGGCTAAGTGCCCTGTGGCACAGGAGAAGAGGCTGAGGGAGAGGGGTTTGCCCAGACACCATCCTTTCTCTATAGGGACCCAATTGCCCTCCAAAGGAGAAGCAAGAACTGTGACTTCAGCTAGACTTTATTTTCTGAGCCTCCCTACTTTCCCACCATCCCCTTTGGTGGGACAAAGAATGCCTGCCTCCTCTCTAGCAGTATCCATAAACACCCCACCCTCACCTCTTGACCAGACAGAGCCAGTTCTGGGTTCAAAAGAGACACACAAACTAGGAGAAGTTGATGGAGACCAAGGGTGAAGGTGGGAAGACCAGCTGATCATATTTTCACAGGTCTTCAGGAAAGAACGATTCTCAGCTTCTGGGCACTGCATTAGGGGATAGGGATGGGGCCACGGATCCTTGACTCATGGCCTCTTCCTTGGATGGTGTCTAAATGCACAATCTCTCCAAACACCCAGAATGAGTCATGTCCCCCGCTACGACTCATAACTATAAGTAACATTTCTTGAGTGCTTCCTACTTGCCAGGTGCTGAGTTAGGAAGACTGCACTTGTTATATTTAATCCTCACAACAGCCTTTGAAAAACAGTCCTATGAACAGTCCCATTTTACAGCTGACAAAACTGAGGCTGAGAGAAAGGAAGCAATTTGGCTTAAAGTCACACAGGTAGTAAGTTACAGCTTTGAACCTCACATCCCCCAAGCTGCCTATAATCCAATTTAAAAAAAAAATCTATCAAACCACTTTTATTAACCAGTCATATTTAAGCCTTGTTTCTCATAGTATGTAGACACAACCTAAAATGGCTTTTCCTCGAAAAATATTTGAGAGATTTGAATAATAATCTGTGCCGACTCAGGGCAGAAGGTCCAAAATGGTTTCTCTGGCTTTGAATGTCCCAGCTAATTACCTAGACCCTCCACCTGACTTAGCGTGTGTAGACAGGCTTAATGGTTAGTCTATTGAGCTCCCCCATTATTTTTCAGGTGCCCAAAGGTAATCTTTTCATTGAACACTCACCATTCTGGGATTTTCACAATGCTGATGACTAAGGGATTTTCTTCTGCCCAGTCCTAATAAGGGGACCT